GGGAGGGAGGGAGGGAGAGAAGGAGGGAGGGCGGGAGGGAGAAAATAAAAGAACAAGTTTCTGTTGCTTTGAGTTTGACTGACTCGAAAGTGCATTGATGTCCACCTCTGGGCCATCCTCCTACAAAACTACAAGTGTGTACAACTACCGAGAAGGAAGAAAACAGGAAGAATTACCAAAGAAAAAATGAAGTGTCTCTAACCTTTTTGGTGGGGGAGGGGAGAAGACATACCATTCTTCAGACACAAGGAGGAACTTGAAAGTTCATGTCGTGGAGCGGCACCTCCCGGGGCAAGTACGAAGCCTGCCTCTACAGTCCCCACCTCCTCAAAACCAAGAAATTAATTACATGCATGGAGGAACTCACACTACAAAGCATATCCTACTTATCAGAGAAGCAAAAAATCAAATAGACCTGTAATTTCATTATTTTTACCCATTAGTATCAGCATTCACAACAGTCTAATCTGCCAGATTGTGGTTACAACTGCTATCTTTGATCATGCTCCGTTCATTATCAATAATTTAAAACTATGTAGAAAGCCCTATCCTGTTTCATGTAAAGTTAACATTTAGAGACACCCAGGCTTCATCAATGACAGGGTTGAAGTTCATTATCATCCACAGGTCTTTATTTTCACATTCATTAAAGAATCTCTTTGGTCAGTGGCATAGCCTGTGTCCTCAATCTGAAGTGGAAGATGTAGTCGCTAATCTCAAGGTTCATAAAATTTAATGTAAAGCAATAAAACAGACCTAACAAGAGTCTGGACATGAACAAGCAAGTGCTTGCTACATTATTACACAAAGGTAAAATTAATTACAGCTACAGAGAAAAGTTACTGTCAGGTGCCAAAACCTGGGTAGGGGAGTATTCAGGAGGGAAAGTGTAAGGGAGGAAAAGGAGTGCTGGACTAGAAAGACTCCTGGGGGAAACAGACTCTGTGTGGGTGGAGGCAGGGTCTCACCTGGGAAAAGAAGGGCCGGCAGGCTTTAGGGTGCTTTCAAGGGACAATGGTACTCGAGGCCAAGTGCAGGTGTCAGCATCACACAGACCTAACTTTGAGACCCAACAGCACTACTCACAAGCTGAAACCTCTTAGGCTAGTTACTTAACCTATGTCTTAGTTTTCCTCACTCATAAATGGGGTATATCGTCATATCCATTCACAAAAGGTTTGTAAGGTTTAAAGGAAAACACATGTCAAGAGCTTATTATCATTTCACAGAGAATGTGCCAACCTGTCTAAATTCTGTTCATCAGCTCTGGCTGGCACCATCCCGAGAGCATCACTTCTTTTTTTCTTCCCTAACAACTTTTGTGGAAATTTTAGGTGATTCCGTGATACAACTATAAATTTATTATAGAATGGCATTGTATGTATGCTACTTATACATATGTTGTATTTAATTTTAATAAATTATTATAGGAGACCATCTTTCTCTAACCAATCTCACCCAGTAAGCTACAAACATCTATGTAAAGAGGGAAAAAGCACTGGGAGGAAAGTAGGCCAACTGGTTTCCAACAAAGGCATAGTATGGCCAGTACGGCAATGTGATACTCACCAGCACATCCACATAGAGAACCCAGCAGTGTTCCCGAGGACTAATGCAGAGGGACTTCAGGTCGACGCTGCTCTTATTGTTAAATATCCGGTAGAGGGTGTTAGCAATCTCTGTGCCAAGGTCATCACCTCCTCGACCTTCAAATTCAGGGGTAGCATTGGCTGAACTATACAGAATGGCAACAGAAAAGCAGGGTAAGTCTTTCCAAATGCAAAAATCAAAAGGGGTAAGGCTTTACTCCAGTTTCCTTGGGGAATGCTGAAAGAGTCAGTTGCTATAAGGAAAGTCACCAGAAGGAGGAGTAGATGGCATCTGCAACCTTTCTAGCTTCCAGACACATGCAATGAACCAGCTAGCACTGTAGCCTGGGTTTGTCAGTGTGTATGATGGGGTTTTCAAATGACTTCTAATAGAAGCCATCTTTAGCCAAAGAGAAATAAGAGAGTGATGGTAATGTGAACCTCAGCCAGTAATAATTAACTCTCTTATCTTCGTGGCGCAATCAACAGTCTGGCAGGCCCAGGAAGCTGGGCGGTCTGAGGAATCCCACAGTCTGGCTTACAGAGGGGTTACATTGTATACACCAACCCTAATTTCACAGTTTTAGAATGTGCAATGATACTCTCTATGCAACTACCACAATGTAAGTACAATAAACTTTCTGGAATGGCATAGAAGATACGTATGACTGTATGTCAGAGCTATGTCATAAACTTTAAATTATCACTGTACTGAAAAGAAGGAAAATAGAGAGAAAGACGGTTGGTTAAATTCTAGGCATCCCCTTTGCTTTATTGGATATTTTCCAAGAGAAAAAACTTTTCTCCTCTTTTCATCTTCTTAATACTTATGCCCAATACCTCAACAAAGAGCTAACAGGATTCAACATTTACTATCTTAAAAACATGACTCAAAAGTGTTCAACAGGACATTTTTGAGAGCTATGACTTAATACAAACTCTTATTATGACTGTGAGATAAGTAAACTTTACAGCAATCATTTTACTCTAAGAATAAAGGTCCAGAAAAGTTAAGGAGCCAGCTGTCTCAGCATGGACTCTATAAATCACATATTGAAGCTTTCTGATCCCCTCGCCCATCTGGAAAGCACCTAGCCCTGCCCTAGGCACCAGAGACCTAGAGACTGAGCAAGGCAGATACAGACCCAAAGTTAGCAGTTCCGACCACATGGGGAGTTTCATAGTAGAAAGTGAACAGTGAGGTGTTGGGAGTGAGTGAGGGTGTCAACCAGCCTTCAGGGTTGTAGGAGACCTCAAACCGGCCACTGCAGCCTGGACCTGCTGGGCTCCAGCGATTCTTCCGCCTCAACCTTCCTCATAGCCGGAACTACAGGTGCGCGCTGCCACACCCAGCTAATTTTTTGATTTATTGTAGACACGAGGTCTCACCAAGTTGCCCAAGTGGGTCTCGAACCCGCGGCCTCAGGCAATCTACTCACCTTGGCCTCCGAAAGCATGGATTACAGGCTGAGCCACCGAGCCCAGCCAAGAATGAATTCTTAAACAATCAGACGATGTTGCTGTACAATAGTGTTGCTCCTCTAATTATATAGCATTCCCTTACTACTGTCACCAGCAGAACCTCACTTTAAAGTCCCCAAGAGAAACTTCATTACTGCCATAGCAACTTCGATATTCCCTCACTGCCTCTGTGGGACTCAGGCATCGAGCTGTGAAAAGTAGCTCATTGATATTGAAATAATCAAGTCACCAGGGACCAAGCTTACACTTTGAACAGTCAGCAAAACACAACTTGTTTCTAATTTAAACACTAAGCAATCAATACTAAGTCTTGTGTTTTAAGTTCTTAAAAACACATCTACAGAAATTTCTTTGTAGACTCAGAGATCCACTTAGAGATGCTTATGCTCAAAATGTTAGTCTTTTCCTGAATGTGGCAGGCACATCCTTCTGGGTGTGACCAATTATTCCAGGATGAATGCATTAACTCTTCTTGAGCCTTGAGGGGTGGTTGATAGAACTTCCCAGGTCCAACTGTCTAATTAATCTACCTAAAAAACCATGTCCCATTTTTTTTTTCTCCATTGTTTTTTTGACAATGGGCTAATCTAAAGTGGAAATTTCAACCATTTTAAAATAGCTTTTTTAGGCACATAATTCTTTCAGCATAGCTAGCAGTTAGGCAGAGAGGAAAGGTTAAAGACTCAAAAGCTCACAGAATGTTCCTGTGTTAGATGGTGCCCTAGCCATAGAGTGACTCTGGGGAGGAAGCTGGGAAAGTGGAAGGTAATTGCTCAGCGTGGGGGGACAGGGTACAATGCTTTAAGTAATATAAGAAAGCCAGAGACCCATATCCTGCTGAGGAATGAAAGAGAGACTGGAGGAGAGACATGAGAATTCTACTTCATCACTGGGGCACTCACAACAAAAGGGCCCTTTCTGACAGAATAGAACAGAAATGTAGACCTGGAAAGGGCCTTAGAGCCATCTCTAGAGGATAAAAAACCAAATGCCTGCAGGAGTCAGTCAGGTAACTACTGTATATGTATCTGTATAAAGTGCTACGTGTAATTATTGGGGAATGATGGAGGCTGTGGCTAACTTTCTAACCTTGTCTAAAGGCATTTAATTCATTAAAAACAAAACAAAACAAAAAAAAACCCTTAGTGAAACAAGTCTCATAGGTGGGATTTGACCTGGATTACACTGTGAGATCCCAGATAACCCAAATCTCATTTTATAAAAAGAGAAACTTTAACAACTTTTTGAATGTTTAATATGAGATAGATTAGATACCATTCTTTGCACTTCAGGTGTATTAACTCATCTAATTCTCGCAGCAACCCTAGGAGGTATTAACCCATTGTATTTCTCTCTCTTTTTAAAAAAATTATTTTTTAGAGGCAGGATGTTGCTCTGTTGCCCAGGCTGGTCTCAGAACTCCTGGCCTCGAGCGATCTTCCCACCTCAGTCTCCCAAGGCACCGGGATTATAGGCATGAGCCATTGTGCCTAGCCTAACCCCATTATAAAGATAAGAAACAGTCACAGAAAGGTTATGTAATTTGTCCAAGACCACACGAGTGCCTGGTGAGCTAAGACTCTAATCCAGGCAGCCTCCCTTGTCTGTTATGCTTCCCCTGATTCTTCTCAAATCTGTGATTTAGCAAGTTTGGTTTGTAGTCTAACATTAGTCAGATTAGCCTTCCTTGCGTTTATCTTCTACCTCAAGGTAATGAATGGGTGCTCTCGTCTTAGGACTTATTACTAGACCAGAAATGTTGGAGTCAAAGAATGCAGACCAAGGAAGCCCTAAAGAAAAAGCTTCTCTGAGAGAGAGAGAGAGAGAGAGAGAGAGAGAGAGAGAACGAACACGGGCTGGTAATTCAATCCCCTGCTCACATGCATCAGAATCTTTCAGTAAAGGAGCACACACTTGGTTTTTTGGGCATAAAACCAAATGCTTTCTGATTTACAGTTAACCAAAACCAATTCAGACTCTTCATGACCCAGTCCCTGTTTCAGAGCTGTGGGAAACTGTTTACTGAGCTGGATAAACTAATAATGACCCTGGGAATGCTGCCTCTCCAAGCTCTCCGCCCCTTGACTCATCACCTCCACCCTGTTTCTCTGGCTTGAACTGGAATAGGTTAAGTTCAAGGCCATGTCTACCTGGAATGGGACTTTCAACACTAGGCCCATTGTTGTTTCCCATGCAATCTAGCCTGCAAATCTATGGAGGCTTACAGCTAGGTCAGGCCAGGCTCACAACAGAAAAAGTGATTTAGTGAGTACCTAGGGCAGGGCTAACTCAGGGCCTTAACCCTCCAGTAGTCATCCAGCCCCAAAGTAGGTCCTAAGGCTGATTCCTCTGTGTGTACACATGCTCATTTCTGGACCTGCAGAAGCTTCCTTAAAAATGGGTACCAGAACAGTAGTACATTCTCAGCTTTTCCTCATAAGCCCTCATTTCAAGTTTCTTGAGAGTCATCTCATCAGCTCTGGAGACTGAGTACAACTAGCCTCAAATGGCTTTTGCAGACTGCCTTTCTGCACTGCACCCAACCCTAGTCCTAGTGAAGAACAGTGTTCCCTTTAAGCAGCATTAAGCAAGCAAGGTACAGAGACATAGTGGCCCCACCCACCAATGTAGGCCTAGAAGATTCTGATTGAGTATCACTGAAAATACAAGCGATAACACTGAAAAGTACTTGAGCTCCCAGTGGGAAATGACAAGTGCCAGACACACCGAAACATCTATAAATGAAAAACATTATCCTTAACTCCACCAGATAAAAACTCAACCCTTTCTGTGATACTAAACCACAGCCCTAAACCCATCAACACAATGGTCAGAGAGCTGAGAAGAAACTTGATGGCTCATCACATAGTGGTAGACCAGGGTGATACATCAGCTCACTAAAGTCTTACCGCATTAAAGACCTCTGGGTCTTTGATGGAAACCATTTTTCCTAAAGTTTCAAGGTTCTCACTTAAAATAGCGTATTCTCAGGCTGTTACTAGCAAAGTAAAGACATGAGACAGGAGGCAGAAGGTCAGATTTTACTCCCAGTTTAGTGAACGTGCTGCCAGGCGTCTCTGGAGCAGGGCTCAGTGTCAGTGCAGCTGGGCACCCTATTCAAGGCTGTGAGACCTTTCAGGATTTCCCATAATTCCCAAGTAACAGGGAAAATTATGGGGACGGGGAACAGTTTCTACGTTGGCTCTATGTATTATCATTCCAAGTAGCCAAAACCAAAGTGAAATGAGTTCATAGAAAAGCAATTAGTTTCTTCACTACCTCTCTACTGCTGGGAATTTAAATAATTAAAAATCTGGAAGTTGCTGATAAGAAGTTAAATCAAGTTAGGTTCATAGTGGCAGAAGGGACCTCCCCCTCAGCCTGTGGATAGGTGACTGCCTTGAGCCCTCCAGCAGAGGCCCCATGCCTGGGGCCAGGGTGGGAGTATGGCATCCTTACCGCTGGGCACATCCACAGATGTCCAGAAGCCATTCCTAGTCACTAGATCAGAAGAAAGGATTTGCTTGTTTAATGCAATTAAAATAATTATGCTCCTTGAATACTCAAGTGAGGCTCTGATACAGGTGGCAGCCACCGGCGCTTGGTAACCTCTCCCACTTCTGTAGGAAAATGGGGTTTTGTGACTCTAACTGCTGGCTGATCAAATTGGCTGAGCCACTTAAAGAAGCTGAAATATACCATCTTGAGACTATCCACCTTGAAACAGATTCAGAACTACCTGGCAACTGGAGCTCCTGAGCCTGTTGGTGTCCTTCTGAGACTTAAAAAGAGGAAAAGGGACCAGCAGGTAGCCACTCTCAGCCAGAAAAGAAAGGTTACTTCTAGAAGCCAGATCTTGGAAAGGGGAAATGCAAAGGTTCCTCTCACACTAGAGTCACCCTCCCTTGTCCCTGGGACAGGAAAGAGACAGCAGGGTGACCTGGAGTCATGTTCAGACACAGAGTCACAGTGAAATGCATCCCCTGTACTAAGTGTTTGAGTGCAGCACTCTCTTTGCTGTGGTTGAGCTGACTGCCTATGATCGGCCTAACATGCATGAGGTAGATGATAATGAAAAGGAAGAAAATAAAAGCAAATTACAGTTCCTCACACATGGTTTCTGCTCCTCAGTGACTGTTTACTGCATAGAATCAAGCAGATCAAGGCCAGGAGAGGCATTTTGCTCCCTTCAAGACCAAAGGAAAAGGTAAGCTGGGGGCTTGAACAAGGTCACCATCATCCACAGTAACTTAAAGGATGGGCCAGGTACACTGGATAATTCAGACTGGTGAGAGAAGCAAGGCAGAACCAGGAGAGGAGTCTTGGGGGACCAGGACAAGGGGGCAGAAGTGGGCTAGAAGGAAAACTGGCCAGAAAAATGAATGTAGATAGCTCTTGGACCTCCACGCACAGTGGCCTTCTAAAGTTGGCCTCTATGGGCTGCATGAGGTGGAAAGAGCAAAGAGTCACTGTTGGACAGACTTGAGCCAGCATTTTAACTATGTGACCCTCAGAAAGACGCTTACCCACTCTGAACTCCATGTAAGTGTCATCTCTCTCTTATAGCACTGTGAGGATCAGCTTCTGTGTTTGGAAGAGAAGACTGAAGACTGTGACTCACTCTACAAAAGTGGGTTCATATTTGTGCAGAAAAGGACGGCCACAGTGGCCCCAGGCTGCTATCTTTTGAAGGGCCTGCTTGCAAGGTTGGCCCTTGGCTGGCATCTGGGAACCTAGCTTTCATAATGTTGCCAGTCAACAGTAAATTGATGGAGGTAGTCCACTGCACCTAGATTGTGTAAATAATATGGTTTATGCTGAACACGTGTTTTCCTTCTAGAGGTCTGGAATTTTGTTATATATTAAGCAAGGGATGCTATGTGACCAGCCCCCAGTAACGTGTTTTCCTTCTAGAGGTCTGGAATTTTGTTATGTATTAAGCAAGGGATGCTAAGTGACCAGCCCCCAGTAAAAATCTTGAACGCTGAGTCTCTAATGGGTTTTCTTGGGCAAAAATGTCACAAATAAATTACTGCATTTTCATTGCTGTAATAAACCTTAGCTGTGAGTACTACTATAAGCTAAGTCCTGTGAGCCCTTCTAGCAAATCTCCAAAGTGATTAGTGAGGTCAAAGAGACTGAATTTAGAAGCTTGAATTTTGATTTTGGAAAGATTGTCAAATATCAAAGATGTATAACATCTGATATCATAACACAAGATCACAGGTGACTATAAGTTATCTCATTCATGTGGAGATGGTCTCAGAGACCCTGATACAGGTTTAACATTAAATACCTACACCTAGCATGAGCCAATAGAGATCCTTACCTGCTTCAAGAAAGCCTGCTGTCACCACCTGGCTTTTAGAAGCAAGATAACAGAAGATGGGACCAAGCCAGCAACTCAATAAAAAGCCCCAACCCCTAAAGTGGAGAGAGCAAGGAGGAGAGAATATTTACTGAAAGCCCAATGGGAGCTGGTCACTGTGCTAGGTACTCAGTTTATCTTCATTTCTTCATCATCACGATGTTATACCTGTGTTATTATCCTCACATTTTAGATGAAGAAATGTAGGTACAGAGAGACTGAGTAACTAGCCTGAGGTCACAGAGCTGGTCAGAGAAGAAAGTAGGACTCTGGCCCAAAGCTGTTGCAGACACCACAGAGCTCTCGCTTTTCCCGGCACCCACGCTGCCTGCCTAACTGCCACTTCCTCTGCCTGTTGGGCTGCTTGGCTGACACGAGGCCTCGTCTGCCAAGCAAATCATGAATAGTCTTCTGCAGAGCTAGAGCAGGAAGCAAAACAGGTCATTTTAGACCACATGATCCTTACCATCTGTGTTTGACATTTTTCAAAATACCACAACACACATCATTTCATTTGACCCTCGTAACAACCATGTACTGGGCTACCTAGCAGGTGTCCTCCTTTTTCAGACAGGGAAAATCAGGTCCAGCAATGGCCACGTGATTAAGACAAGGGCAGAACTCAAGCCAAGACCTCCTAGTACCTGACACTAGGAGGTCAGCAGATGCCTGGAGGATGGCTGGATGATGATAAAATAAATACAAAATAATAGTGGGCTCAACAGGAACCTAGAGTTCATTTTCTGAATCTTCACCTTTTAAATCATTTTTCTTTAAAAATGTCTGCATAGGTAGTACTGACCAGTCAACAAAGAACTCCAAGTAGCCTTCATTCGGTCTCTCCAGCTTCGGTGTCCCCATTTCTGCTTTCACTCCCACCAAGATGTCTGTGTGACCCTGCAGACACATGCAAGAGGGGCCCTCACTCAGGGTAGGCAATCACTCTACCACATCACCCCCTCTTCTGACATATGGCCTTGGAGGACTCTCCTAGAAACAGTGCTGAGACTTGGAAAGTGGCCTTCAAGGAGGAGAGGAGTCCTTCAGATCTGGATAAACTCCTCCCTGAGTTTGGTTTGGGCTCAGATTTTTGCAGGATCAATGTGCACTCCAAAAGCCAGAAGGGGTCTGCAGCTAGTTCCCTAGGCCTACCCATTTCTGCTCCCGGACATGAGACATGGCCACAATACTCACCAGCTTGACCCTAGCAGACCCACTGGTGTTGGATACCACGTCAGTTTCCACTTCAACACATCGGTAGTCCTCACAGCCACGGCCATCCACACGGAGGTCTTCCTAAGTGCAACAACCACAGTCCTAAGGCTGTCATCCCAAGCCAACAACAGACTCCTAAAATGATTCACTCCTTTCCCCCCCTAGATAATAGGCAGTATAACCTCTTTTTCTCTTAGTGGATCACCCAAAATTCTGTCCTCATAGCTAGTAACAATATTGCTACTTTAATTATGAGGAAATGGAGACTCAGAGAGGTTAAGTGACTTGCCCAGTGTCCAATATCTAATAAGGACAAAATTCCATGCCAGGAATGTCTGACTGCGAAGTCCACATTACATACCAACATACAGAATATGCACACAAAAACAAACAATAGCTAAGCAAGAGCTGAACGAGAGACAAAATAAGTCACTGCTCTTCAAATCTGTCATTTTAAAATTATACCAAAAGTCATGGGTACAACTATCTCAACTGTAGCCCTCCCACACCCAAAAGACAACAAGATCTACTGTGCAAACAGCTCAAGCAAGACACCTAATCTTTTATTTTATTTTATTTTTTGAGTTGGAGTCTCACTCCATCTCCTGTGCTGGAGTGCAATGGCACACTCACAGCTACCTCTGCGTCAACCTGCTGGGCTCAGGTGATCCTTCCGCCTCAGCTGGAACTACAGGTGTGTGCTACCACGCCCGGCTAATTTTTGATTTTTATTGTAGAGACAAGATCTTGCCAAGTTGCCCAGGCTGGTCTTGAACCCACGGGCTCAGGCAATTCACTTGCCTTGGCCTCCCAAAGTGCTGGGAAGACACCTATCTTTTAAAAGAGGCATTCTCTAGAACAGAGGCAACAAACTAAGGCCCATGAGCCACTGTTTTTGTAAACAGTCTTACTGAAACACAGCCAAGTTGATCATTTAGGTTGTCTGTGATGGCTTTTATGATGCAAAAACAGTTGAGTGGTTGTGAGAGACCATATAACCTACAAAGTCCACAATCTTTACCATCTATTCCTCAAAGCAAAAGTTTGCCGAAGACTCTTTCTGCAGAAGATAGTTTCAGAGTGGTCTATACACCTGTGCACTGCCTGTCCCTTCTATCCATTTATTTACTTCTTCAATTATTCGTATCAGTACAACTCACAGACATCTATTTTGGTTATAATCCAATACTATCATCATTTATTTTGTTGCTCAAAGTGGTCTAAATTTAGCCTTTGGGACTCCTTTGGGTTAGTATGCTCTTTCTTTTTTTTTGAGTTGGAGTCTCACTCTGTCGCCCAGACTGGAGTGCAGCGGCCGCTCCTGGCCACCGCAACCTCGACTTGCTGGGCTCCGGCGATCCTTCCACCTCAGCCTTCCAAGTAGCTGGAACTACAGGCATGCGCTACCACACCTGGCTAATTTTTTGATTTATTGTAGAGATGAGGTCTCACCAAGTTGCCTAGGCGGGTCATGAACTCGCGGGTTCAGGCAATCCACTCACCTCAGCCTCCCAAGGCGTGGGATTACAGGCTGAGCCACGGAGCCCGGCTAGTATGCTCTTTCAACACAACTCCAACCTTGAGTACTCCTTTACTTTGTGTTCCAGCCTTTTGTGTTTTCCATGCTCCAGCCCTGGGGATCAGCCCTTTCTCCAAAGAGCTCTAGTTTGGTTTTTTTTGAGAATGGTATTTAAAAACCAGGGTCTGGGTGCTAAGTTTGTTGCTACTGGGGTATCACTGCTTCCAGACCATCTCAGAAGTCATAGCTAGGAAATATATGTATGTATACTAACCCACATATGCATACACATCTATATTTAATTCTGTATCTATCTACATATCTATTAAAAAGCCGAGTTCTGGCGAGGTAATCTCAGCATGCCTATAATCTCAGCACACTGCGAGGCCCAGCCAGGAAGATCAGTTGATGCCATAAGTTCGAGATCAGCCTGGCCAACACAGCGAGACCAAGTCTTTACAGAAAAAAAAAATTAAAAATTAGTCAGGTGTGGTGGCATGCCTATAGTCCCAGCTACTTGAGAGGCTGAAGCAGGAGAATCCCTTGAGCCTAGGAGGTCAACGCTATAGTGAGTGGTGATTGAGCCAATGCCCTGCAGCTTGGGCAACAAAGCAAGACCCCTTCTCAAAAAAAGAAAAAGAAAAACAAAGTCATCTTCAGTGCTTCCTGGTTGGTACTTTTTTTTTTTTTTAAAGAGCCATGCATTCACACTGATAGTTCAATTCAAATCTAACATCACAGGGTTCATTCTAACCTTCCTCCTTTTCTTATTTATAACTCCTTTCTCAGGGAGAAAGCTGGGTCTCATGATCTACAATGTTTTTGTTTTTGTTTAATCTTAGTATACATATAAAGTAGTTTCGGAACTTCTAATCCATACCCCTGTGAGAATCAAATTTATTAACAAAATACAGTATTTGTCTAAAGATTTTTTGTCTTAAACCTTATAGTACTTAGTCAAAATATTGTTTTCCAGTTGAAAATTTAGTTTTTTTCTTTCCATGTGACTATATTAGTCATTTGTAACACGGGCTCATTTGTAACAGTATTACAGCCCCTAGTTACTTTTAATTACTTATTTACTTTCAGGGTATGTGGAATATCATTATGGCTCTCAGAAAAGTTTGCCCAGAGAACTGTCATGCTCAGTGTCCAATATCTATCTAATAAGGACAAAATTAGGTTTCCATGCCAGAAATGTCTGACTGCAAAGTCCACATTACATACCAACATGCAGAATACACACACAAAAACAAGCATGTCATGCTCCCTTTGCCTGTACTATGCTATTTCCATGCTCCCTTCTTTCCACTCCTTCCTCACCCACCCAGGCAGATAACCAATCTCTTCAGTTTCTGGTTTATCTTTCTCATATTTCTTGTGTATATTTCTGGTTTATCTTTCTTATGTTTCTTCTTTAGATAAGAAAAAAGGGATATCTTTCTTATATCCCCTTTTTTCTTATCTAAAGAATGGCAGACTATAGATACTCTTTTATATCTGGCTTTTTTTTTTAAAGTCACAATATGCATGCAGGAAAACACCCATGTAGGCTTATAGAGATCTTCCTCATTCTTTGTACACATTTTATGAAAGCAGACTTTTGCCCCCCAGAAAAATAATCATTAGCTTCATCAGATTCGCAAAGGATCTGACTCTCCCCCAAAACATAAAAATAAAATAAAATAAATCACTGCTCTAAAGTATGTGACTGTCAGAAACTTACTTTTAAAGCTGTCTGGCAAAACCTCATCCTTAATGCCTTCCCAAGAAGCATCCTTTGAGGATACAAATCACCTGAGCAAAGTAGATACAAACATAAAGTAGCTAATTGCTTCTGAGCACTGTTATACTCTCCTCAAACACAAATAACACACACTACACACTAAAACACATATATCTCACCATTCCTAATCCTGAATTATAACTAAAATACGAAACTGACTTTATCATCCAGGTTTAATATGCAACCTGTTAGGCAAATATTGACATTTCTTCTTCCATAAAGGGTACAAAAAATAACAGAAGGGCACAAGTTTGGAGCTTTAATGACAGCTGGCCGCCTTATTCTTATGACTACATCACGGAGACCACTGATTTAGCGTGAGGTCCTGGCAGAGGAAAGTCATGAAGGAAAGGTGGAGGCGCTGCCGCCAAAACTCTGACGGGGGTGGGCTGAAGAGCTCCAATAGGAGGGCCGCGCTGTGAGTTAGCAAGTAGACAGAGACAGGGAGGGATACGGAGTAGCTCCTACCATTTTCAACTCGTTCTGGAGTGGTCAAAACCAGAGGATGAAGACTGAGCACAGAACACCTTAGATAGAGCTGCCTGGGGATCTTAGTTCTTTACAGGCAAAACGGAAACAGTAATTATGCTATCCGCTGCTGAGCCGCTTTTTAAAAACTCTCCTCCTTTTAGTAAAGTGACGGATATATTTGAGTCGGGGTCTCACTCTGACGCCCAGGCTGCAGTGCAGTGGCACGCTCACAGCCCACTGCAGCCTCGACCTCCTGGGCTCAGGTGATCCTTCCGCCTTAGCCTCCCGAGCAGCTGGGACTAGAAGCGTGCGCCACCCCGCCCGGCTAATTTTTATTTATTTGTTTGTTTGTTTGTTTGTTTTTAAAGAGACCAGGCCTCACTATGTTACCCAGGCTGGTCTCGAACTCCTGGGCTCAAGCAATTCTCTCGCCTCGGCCCCCAAAGTACTGGGATTACAGGAGTGAGTCACCGCGCCCAGCACGATTTATATTTTCTTTTTTTTTTTTTTTTTTGAGTAGGAATCTCACTCTGTCACCCAGACTGGAGTGCAGTGGCCGCTGCTCCCAGCCACCACAGCCTCGACCTGATGGGCTCCGGCGATCCTTCCGCCTCTGCCTTCTAAGTAGCTGGAACTACAGGCGCGCACTACCATGCCCGGCTCATTTTTGATTTATTGTAGAGATGAGGTCTCGCCAAGTTGCCCAGGCGGGTCTCGAACCTGCGGGCTCAGGTAATCCACTCACCTCAGCCTCCCAAAGGCACGGGATTACAGGCTGAGCCACTGAGCCCGGCTACGATTTATATTTTCAAAGCGCGTTCACCTCGTATGCACACTCTTTCTGCGCCTTCCAACCACGAAGTGATGGAAAGAGGGCCAGAAAGTCAGCTCCAAACCCTCATTTCCGATAAGAAAACACTGAGGCGCGCCTAGTGAAGTGCGCAAAGATTGGATGGATGGCCCTAAGGCGATGCTCCCCCACTAAGAAAAGGCCTCGGGGACAGCCCAATCTTAAGCACCCGCAAAGCTTCACGTTCTCTAACAGGACTGAAAACGTCCACGTCACCAGCTTTGAACTGAAACGCCGGCCGCAGAGCCGCTACCTGGACGCCGTGCACGATGTACACCTTCTCTGCCTCGCTCAGGGCCACGGACGCCATGCTGCCAAGCTGCTCCGCGAGCAGCGCGCGTCATTTGCCTGCGACGCCTCCGTGCCGACCCCGCCCCCGTGCTGGCGTCATCAGTCTGCGCGGCGGCCGCTCC